GACCTATACAATTTTTTTTCCTTAGATTTTTTACCTGGATTACTGAGATGTATGGATCACTTGGGTTGTTACCGACATCTGGTGAAAATTTCACGTCATTAGCACCTCTAGTAATATATTTACTGAGAAAAATAGTGACGTGTTCAATACTTATTTTACCCGCTGTACATTTGAAATAAATTCTAAATTGAAAAACTTGTGTTACAGTCAAAGGCGTAACTTTGTGCCGAAAGTTGGTGGGGACGCACCTTGGGGGACGGGGTCTGACGCACCCAGTTGTGCGACCAGGGTTTTCTGTTGTTCATGCCTTCAGTGTGTGCAGTTTAACTGTCTGCACCCATCAATAACTGAACACCAAATGTTTCTGTTGTGATGCAACAACACTCAAACCATATAAACTGAGATTATGTTCGCTGTATCAGCCCTTTAAACTCACTAARAATACAGTTTCACAATCAGCCATATTTTCATACAGCAGACACACAGGTGGAGCAGAGGTGTGTTGGTTTATCCTCTCACATAAGTCTTATAACGTGTGTGTAAAGTACACACTGGAGTGGGGTCTGGGTGTCCTCCCTCAGAAAATTTTGAATAAATTAGAAGCTATTTCCTGATTTCTAATGTATTTTAACAGGTTGTTAAAGATACTTTTACCTACATAAAAAAAAAACACCTGATTGAATGACTGGAGACAGATTCTTCATTAAAATAGTTGCATCGTCCTGTTTTTAAATTCTGTTATAACTCAGATAATTAAATTAATGTGACAAATTATCCCAAACAAGCTTAAAGGTTTTTACATTTATTTATAAGATTGATTTGTGGATGTTTGGAACTGATTAGAAAGCTAATGATTGATAGATTGAGAGATTTATTTACTGACCTTTATTTAACCGGGAAAATCTCAATTATGAAAACAAATTTCTACCACTTCCTACAAATACAAGTTAAATTTAAATAAGCCTATCACTTTTATACTGGTCAAAATAAATGGTTAAGCATGCTAGATTATGTCTTTATATCAGTAGTTCATTACTGGGAGTTCCGCAGGGTAGCATACTGGGCCCATTGCTTTTCCTATTATACATAAANCTGCCTTCCTGAAATTTGGTATGCTTGTTTGTCTTTGTTTCTATGGTGTATAATGATGTGATTGTGATGCTGCAACTCTGAGTGTTTTATGTGCTGCAGAACAGGAACCTGCTGTAAAACAGCAATTATGCTGAGTCAGGCTTGATTTTTAATAATCTTTCCCTGTTAAATCAATAAATCAAATCAAATCAAATCAATTACATTAAGTTCACACAGCT